CAATCCAACACGTTCAGTCAGCCAGATTAAAGACGACACACTACACGAAACACTAGAATATACTTGTTTTTCTACCTTCACTGCATGACACAGTCAAATGGGCTTAAACTGTGTAAAACTGGTTTCATATCATTATATATCATATTTTTTTCCCTCTGAATTTGTGCAGCAGCTTGTGAGGCCTTGTTGAATCTATGGTAAAATTCAGACTACCTTCCAAATCCAATATAAGAGGAATTATTTCCCAAATTCCTGCATACAATGTAACCTGCTCATAACCTTTCTTCTCCAGCTTGAATTCATTTGAGGGCTCGGGCTAAGGATTCAAGAGTGAGGGACTGAGGATTTGGCATGGGCAGGTCTTGTATAAGGAGCTGGCTGCGAGCTCTTCAAGCTGTGAGAAAAGGGACAGTTTAAAGGTTTACAGATTCTGCAAACATTGCATAATTTTTCGATTGCGTATTATCACATGGTGCGTGTCGGACTGGACGTTTCTTGTTGAAAAGTATTTTTCAACATGCAAAATTGGCTGTGTTATCAAATGGTGGGGGTTTAATGCCTTACTGATAATGCTGATCTACCTTTCTCTGGCTGATCCTCTTATCTGAAATCACATCCTTTTATCTCTAGTTTACTAAGAGGTGAGTGATTGAGAATAAGAAGGAAGAAGACACCCTTAAGAGCCCTAGGGAGGACAAGTGTGTGTCTGTGTGTGTGTGCATACAAAGGGGGTAAGAATCACCTTGATTCAGTACACCGGCTGTCTTTGAAGTGTCTGGAGCCCAGTACGGCCAGCACAGAGCCAACCATAAGCCTTCCAGCAAAAATCGAGCCTGACCTCCCCACCAAATCATAACCATATGAACATAAGAATTTCCACCTTAGGAGAATGCTTTCTCCCCCGTCCATCTCCCAGGGTGAGGCATTAAGTTGTGATAACAGAAAACAGGTTCTGAGAGGGGGTGGGAGGGGGGCATTTGGAGGTGATGGAGGGTGGAGAGGAGGACAGGAGGACAGGAGGAAAATGGGGGTTACAAGTGTGCCGTATGGAGGAGAATGGAGAAGGGGATTGTGTCCAAAAAATGTTGTTGTGCACAGCCTGACTACCTAAAATGGAAGTTTCTCAGGCGAGGATCAAGAGATATGGTGACCTTCACAGTTGACAGAGTGAGAGACAGAAGACGGGAGGGGGAGTGGAGTGGGAGAAAGGCAAGAAAAAAGGAGACAGAAATTTTGAAATGTGACTCTAACTCAGTAAATACCTTTCTAAACCACTATAGAGAAGTAGAGTGGTACCTTCACTGAGGCCTCGGGACCCACCTGCAACTGGAAATGGTTTCCTGCCTTACACAAACACTGTTGCACCCTAATCCATGTAATTACATCCCATATTCCACATGTGTAAGTACACATGTACAACATTACAGTTCTTTTTTTGTTTGTTTGTTTTCTCCCAAAAATCTACACCTAACTTCGATGTGAAGACTCACTGGGGAAGCAACATATTTACCAAGTGAGTAATAATAATAATAATAATAATAATAATAGAAAAAAATTGAAGATGTTTTACAGCATAATTTACATTAAACACATCCTCGTGCATGGACGTCTGCCACTGAAACAAAGCCCCATGTTGGAGAGCCTTTTGGGTGGATGAGTGTGATTTTGTGGCTGTATGTGTGTGCGATAGTTTGAATAAGCATTCCTCTGAGTGTGCGTGCAATTAGGGTAAGGCTGTTTGTGTGTGTGTGTGTGTGTGTGTGTGTGTGTGTGTATAGAGTGTGTGTGTGTATAGAGTGTGTGTGGTTGTGTGGCGGTGGTGGTTGTTAGCGGTTCCATCTGGGTCTCCTGGAAGCTGTGTGGAGTCAGGAAAACCACATCTCATAAAAGCGGAGGCAGCCCAATGTTCTACAAGGACAGAACATTACTGAAAATGTCGCTCAGGAAAACCCTGGGCTTCAGCCCACATGTTGGCTGCAAAGGCTCTATCTCTCTCTCTATTTCCACTCAGTCTCTCTCCCTCTCTTTACTTGTTTTTTTACTTGCTACGGGATAAGAAAGAAGAAGACAAAATAGACAGCAGGGAGTGTGGGAGACAGAGGCTGAGACAGAGAGAAGCCAGCGCTGATAGCAATTCCATCTGTCGGTATCGAACAGAGGAGTGAGCAGTGACAGGCTGCGGGATGGGGCGGCGGCGGTGGTGGTTGTCTTGGAGGGGTGGGGGCATCTGGTGCACATTGGCCGAGGGTCTGTCTGGAAGCAACCATGGGAGAGGGGGGAGGACGGAGGGAGAAAAGCACGAAGGCCTGAGCAGTGGACAAGGTAGAAGTCCTGCCAAGATGAAGGGCAAAAAAAAAGATCCTGGCAACCAATAAATGTGTCTGTGTTGTTCACATATTGCCTTGGATTGAACCTGAAATCAGGGGGATATGGGAGAAATCGCAGGGAAAGCAGCAGGGTAAAAAAAACCAAAAAAAAAACAAAACACCACAGGCACACGTGCATAACTATCAGTCATCACTCTCTGGTGGAAAACCTCTTAGCTCCAATTTTGATGATTCCACAGACATTTTAAGGTTATTCAATGTCAGCCTATAAAAAAAATAAAAAGAAAGAAAAAAAACCACCATTTGATAAGCTGCTGAGTTTTTATCGTGGGTAAAATATAGAGTTTAAATAAACTGAATGGCTGAGACCTTAAAGTTTATTTATACAGTTAAGTTGAAATTAAATGCCATTTATAATATTCCTTTACTGTAAAGTAAACGAGTCTGCCCTGCAGGGTAATCAAGTCTTGATTTGAGAGGCTGTAATCACGATAGTTAACCCAAACGTTCTTATGCAGAAGCATCGATGCTTCTGCATAAGAACGTCCACCGATGCTTCTGATATGAATGAACAACACATGAATGATTGCTGATGTTTATTTTTGTACATCAATGTATACTGTGCGTAAGGTATGTAGGTGTTTGGCTCGCTCGCTGTGATCATAACCTACTGGGACAATCGTCAGTTCCTACTGGAAATAATAAATGCAGAATAAGCAAGTTTAAAAATAAAAAACAGTCCACTGCTGACGACCTTCAAACACGCTGTAAAATGTGCGTTGACGAGAGGCTTCGTTACATCATACTAGTTCCGAAATCATGCACGCATCTTCTTGGTAATGGCAGTAATTTATATCATATCTTATTGAAATAAAAATTAATTTCGTTACTCCTGTGGCCTCAGCACCTTTGTTCAAATCCTACATCAGTACAAGCAACCCTTTGAAAGCCAGACTGCCAGGATTACGCTAAAGTAATTTATCATCGAATAATGTCCCCTGACACGAGTATAAAAAAAAGACAACTTATTATCTATCATCTGCAATAAAGTTCTTCTCATTTTTATCTCTCATTTAGTGCGATGCAGCGGTGGGAAACACGCCCCTGACATAAGGCGTCGCCCGGAGGCTCGGTGAAGATGATTGAATTTCATAGCTACTTACGGGCTAATAGGGCCGTACAATGACTACTTACTGTCCTTAAGTGACTGGCTGCTTCTCTGTGGCCGCGGCCCCTTTGAAGCCCTTCTGAGGAGATCTAGAGGATTTAGTCAGTAGCGTGACATGAGGCTGAGCAGTTGAGCAACAGTGCTCCCACCAGCTGACTATTAGAACCAGCTGATAAAAACACAGAGGCTACAACTATGGGAAGCACCAGCGCTCCAGTGGTTGCTCAATGCAAGGCTTTCTCACACTGCAGACTTAACGCATTGAGTCACGTTTCTCAGGGAAAACGTCGGGTTTGAACGATGAAAAAGCACGAGAGGATTTTCAAGCTGACGCAGCCGCAAAAAAAAATCACTTAATTGCTGTTATTCAATGGAACATACATCTCAAAAATCTAGTTGTTTTTTTTTTTAGCTTCTCAAATGTGGCACTTTGATGCTTGTTTATATTATTTAATAGGGTCAATTCTCAATATAAATGAAAACTGACTTACTTTAGAAAAATAATAACTAGTACAGGTGCTGGTGTTTATTTTGTATTAAATATGACAGTCAATAAACATGTTTTTTAGTTTTAAAAAAATCAAAATTATTCTATTAGATTTCGTTTTATTTTATTATCATAATATTGCCAGGCTGTACGTCCTTCCTGTAACGTACAGATTGGGAGTATCGTAAGACTGCCGGATGTGTATTTGTGTGTGTCCTAAAGAAACTAACTGAACTGGTGAGCTCGTTACACACAGAGGCTGTTTCCACATACAAACCACTTTGTCCTGATCATGCTGTTCCACTTACACTCTTGGAAGACCAAACCATATATGCATGTGCACACATACGTACACACAGACACACAGCTAACCACATGCACATGTTCACTTGCTCTTAACTAATTTATTCAGGAACACTTTGGTTTGGGTTTCAACACCAAAACCTCTGTACCTTTGATTGAGAAATGTGTCTGACTGCAATTATCTGGGAGGGGAGGGTGAAGGGAGGGATGGATAGAGAGAGGAAACGTGCTACAGCGGTTTTATAGCTTGATGGCGTGACATTTTTCTCTACATTTTATTTTCTTTTTCTTTTTGCCTCCCTAAAAATAATCCCTTCCATTTTTCAAGAAGAGGGGCATATTGTTGACAGAGCAGGAAAAAGGGGGCACACTGAAGTAGAAGGTAACAGCAGGGAAAATGGGAAGAAAATGGATGGACAATGGGACTGAAGTGGCCGAGATTGTCAAAGCTGTGCTTTTGTTCACTAGAATTGAAAATAACTGCAATGTCAGGGAAAATCTTAGACAGATTTGGAACTGATGGTAATGATCACCACGGATGATAAGAGCCACTTTAAAAAACATTGTGGAAAGTTGTAGGCAAATAGAAACCTTTTGCAAGGACAAATCGGTGTGTAAGAGGAGAGTAAATACTAATATATAGTATCTGGACTTTACACTAAATCCATATGAATGCTTTGTGTGTGGCACTATAGCATATAAGCCGATCACTGACCTGCAGTATGTAGCCCCTGACGTAGTCTCGGAGGGTCCAGCCCAAGCCATGCAGGATGTGCAGCACCTCCTCCTGCTTGAGCACGGAGAAAAGGCGGTCGAGAAGGATCTTGAGCCTGACAGGTACCGCCTGGGTGCCGTACAGCATCAGGCTACTGATGTCAAACACTACATTGGACTGAACGATCTCCACCTGGGTCGGGTGGTAGAGATGCTGGGTGCTGAGCTTGTCCAGAGCTGCATGAGCGACCCGGCGGAGTAAGGGAGAAAGAAAAGAAAATGCACACACACACGCACACAGACACACACACATGCACACACACACATGCACAGTTAATGACTATCAAGTTTCTCTCCCATCTCAAATCTTTCCTCTTAGGCTACTGCGTAGTCAGCACTTGCTGATAATAACATATCTATCAGATAAAAGCAGTGACATTAACGCTATTATCAGCCATTTATTCCATTTAATCTATAATGTCTGGCTCTTTCACATTTACGCTGCCCTTGCACCTTTATTTTTATTTGCCTCTTTTGTCTTGATGTGTCACCCCAGTTTCACCACGTTTTGCCTCTAACCTTAACACCTTTTGGCTCATTTATTATTATTCAGAAGCGACGAAGCCAAAGTTGCATGGTTACTGGGTGCATGTCATAGGGGTTAAAGGGTAACATAGGATTTCTTTCTATTGTGTTGGACATTTAAAGATGACAAGAAGCAGGGGGGACATAATTAAGTCAGCGGTTATCCTGTTTTGTTTTGTTTTTGCAAGACATATTCATAAATGTCTTGCAAATAAAATTTTGCATTGACTTTTTATGCTGTTTTTTCATATTAATGGAAGTATTACGAAGAAAAAGCAGACTATATGAATTGTTGGTATTACATAATAATAAATGTCTACTGTCTACTAAAGAAAAACATGCTGAGGAGCCCTGCATCTACATGCAGCTACCAGCAAATTTCAGCAATAACCTGCGACAGCCTTTTGGTTGCCCTCCCTTGAGGGGCAGAAATGGGGCAAAAAGTTGCTCTCTGTCACCGCAGCTCGTAAAGGTTAACAGTCAGTACAAGTTACAGTATAGGTTTGTCAATACCCCCACTGTTGCTGGCTCACTCACCTCTTCCTGCTCCCTGTCTGGGTGACACCTGGTGAACTCTTTATCTCCTCTTTCTCAGTCCCTCTCTCTTTCCTAACCCCCCTCCTTCTCCCACCCCTCTTTCCCCGCCTGTCTGGGTGACACCTGGTTGGGTCTCTCTCTGATCCCGGGACGTTTTTTTTTTTTTTTTTCCTGCTGACGAGGGCTTTGCCTGACAACACAGCACAGCCAGACACGAACATAATAAAAAATGAAGAACTACTTGTCAGAGTCCCTGCCAATGCCGACATGAAATGAAAAGTGGGGGAGAGGAGAGATGGGTGCTTGACAGTTCAGAGGGAGAGATTAAAAAAATAGTCAATGGGGTCCTGTGCGATCTGCTGAAGGGCCCATGGCCTGCGCTTCTGCGGACGCAAGCCAAACAGGTGTTTTCTTTTATCTTCACCCCCCCCACACCCTCCTTCTTCTCTTTGTACTTTCTTGCCTCCTCTCCCTTTTTCTTTTACCCGCTTGAAAAACTCATAAGGTGTGGTCTCTTGCTACTCTATCTCTCTTGCGGCTGTAGAGTTTTTCTTTCTTTTTTTTTGATCTAAGATGCAAAAACAAGGCTTTGAAAGCAAAAAAAACAAACAAACAAAAAAAACAGAAGCAAACGAACTGCAAAGTTACTCTTACTGTGGAAAATTACCAAAAATCATTTGGATTTTAGTATATTCAAAGCTACAGAAAGACTGAAGTTAACAGAACACAGATAATATTAGTTGTACTGTAATAATTTCTATATAGAGCCCAGCTATATAGAAACATAAAGTAGTTTTATGAAAACCCTAAAGGTTGAATCTATTCATTATTTCAATAACTAATTTTGGTAGATACAACAACAGCCTTAATGATTTATGGTCATGTGATTTTCTCACCATGAGCTCCCCAGCCATGTTTGCACTGGTCACATGTTCGTAGGTGAATCTTCCCTGGCTGGAAACACTCACACGTGCAGTTCACCAGTGTGCAGCGAATGGCCTGTGGAAACACACAAGAAAAGAAGAAATCCAAATCAATTACAGTTTGGGTAAAAAGGAGAGATAATGGAGCAAGACTAACAGAGAGCAGCTTTCAGCTAACAGCCGTGAACTGAAAAAAAAGGAAAGCATTTTAAGAAGACTGCTGCAGGTCAGCAAATACTCAAAGCTCATCACATACTGAACATAATGCTTTGACTGTTTCTTTAAAATGTGACAACAGCGAGATAAAGACCGGATCCTACATATCCAACTACTTTTTGATTCCATAGTGCGACTCCGCCTCTCCGTATATAGTAAGAATCCTGAGATCACGTGACCCAACAAAGGGCTTTGCTTCCTGAAAACATAGAAATGTAACTTGTTTTGACTGAGGCTCCATTACTCAACACTGGAGTTGCACTTAGTCTGACCCCGGAAAGCTTTTAGTAGGGAGAGGTTAAGTGTCCAGACTTGACAAGGCCGACTCAGTGCAGTGCAACACATCGTCTTCTGAGGCTTAACCTCCCATTAAAAAACAAAACAAAATGGACAAGACAATGTTCTGTTAGATTTTAAAGGTGTTCACTTGATCACATATATGAGTCTGATTGTTCAATATCGCAAAAAATGTATAAATGAATGCAACTTCATCACCCAGAAGAGTACAACAGCTGCAAGCTGTAAATGTCAGGCTGGCACGGGGAAGCAAGAAGAGAGGAAACTAGGAGCAAGAAGGCAAAAAAATTAATTAGAAATAAGAATCTTTAATAGGAATTGTCAGCCTTGTGTTTATCAGACATTTTTTTTACATTATCTATATGAAATGATGAATAAAGATCCTAACACCAACCTAAACTGCCTGAGGGGAATCAAAAGCTGTAGGAGGATCAGTGCAGCAAAATGTCTTATGGGGAAAAAAAACACTCATGACATCCAAAGTTTTCTTTGTTTTTAATCAAATATGTATTTTATTTTATTTTATTTTTTTACTTTAATGTAATGTTGGCTGTTTTGTGCAAGTTTATAGCTTCCTACTCCATAAGGCAGTCACTGTTTATGCTGGTGATGCATAAAAAAAGTAACAATTATAATAATAATAATGATTAAGGGCTAAATAATCATTATGCGATAGTCTAATAGTTTTGAGATTTCATTGTGGGAAATGCATTACCTCGTTTGCTCTCTCAGACTCATTACACGATGACGGGAAAGAAGCAAAACTTGCACAAACACAATTGGTCCATTGAACTGCAAGTGCGGATCAGAAATCTTCTCACTGCTTCACAAATTCTGCACATTTTATATTTACAGAGTTTACAAGTTAATATAAATAGAATAAAATATTTTACATTCAGTATGGCGGCGGGTCTGTGCCGAAATGCAGAGGATATTCTTCCTATGTGTTCTTTCTTTAAAATGATAAGAAGAAAAATCTGTAATTAAAAGTATTGCAAAGAAAATATGTCAGGTGTGCTTAATGCGGCACATTGGCTGGAGGGTACAAAGGGACTGCAGCGAGCTGCTGCGTATTTACTCTGACGGGGAATTTCAAATGATGCAGAAGCTTGTCAGATCAAAATGCAGACAAACCTGTGGGTGTCTGTCAGAGACAAAAAAAAAAGAGGAAGACAATATAAAGCTAACTGCTTGTTCATAGACCAAACTTTACTTATCAGCACACTAAACTTTATGAATTTATTGTCTGCACTGAATATGTTATCTCATACTGTCTCAGTGTAATTTTTACAAGGTAATGGTGGGACAGTTTTGTGACACAGTCGTGGAAACAAAGGGTCGTAGGTTGGAGTCCATCTCTGCGCCACCAGCCTATATTTCACAATATCAGAAGCAATCAGCACTTTCAGATAGACGAGGATTAGAGGCGCAGATCAGCCTTTGCGTCACACAGCTGAGGTCAGCGCACGAGCTGCAAAAGACAGAATTTTTCTGCTCTTTGCTTTGCAAGTAACATTCACCCCGTCTGCGGATTAGACCAATATCCTGCAATTCAAGATATAAAACTCGCCTCACTCACAATCAACTAAGGGACCATAAAATCTATCAGAATCCCCCCCTTTGCTTGCCCTGAGGTGTTGTAAACCAGATTAGTTACTGGAGGTGTCAAAATGAACACGGGCTAATCCAAGATTAAACACAAAATTACACCACTTCTAACCATGTCACCTCACAGTTTGACACCAAATGAGGCAGGAGACAGAGATTATTTGACTTCACACCATTTTTAAGCTCTCCAGGTGCAGGGATGGCAATCCTCGCAGTGTGCGAGGATTACACGCCGTGTGTCAGTCGGAGCAAAAGTTAAGCACTGAGCTGACGTTCTAATCCAGAGCAGTGCGCATTAAACGAGTTCAGTGTTCCTTTAGTCAAGGACACATACTAACCAGACGTAGGAGCTCATAAACATTCAGAGGTAGTTAGGGTCAAATGCGTGACCTTTCAGATAGACAGACAAAAAAGGAGTCAGAATTCTTCAGTGGTATGTTTTGAATAGTTCATAAAGTCCATAAAATTCCTGATTTAATGTAACAACTTTGTAGCAACATCCATGCTCATGTAGCCACTTACAGCCCTTTTACTTCCTAATCAAATTCCCATGTTGCCAACATATAAGTTCCCTGCAGCCTAGATTACAAGACTACTCCCTTATTCACAAAGGGTCGACACAGTGCGTAGCACAGTTTGATCCACCTGTTTATGTCAGAGTCCCTTTCTGACGCAGCCCCAAAAGGTTGGTGTCGTGTTAGGTGAAGGTGTAAACGACTACACTACTGAACCACCTACAGGCCTACAAGACTTGTAAAATATTGAAATTATTGTTATATTTCAGGGGAATATTTTTTCTTTAATACATTCTTATCTAGTTAAATTGATATCCTGTTCAACTGGTGTTGAACCAATGATTACAGTTAAATGTAAGAAAAGTGCTACTGAAGTGCTTTCTTAACAGTCAGACCCCCAATTATGTTCAGAGCTAAAAAGATTTCATCAGTGGAAACTCAATAAGCAACATCCTTGATGACTGATTTATATTTTTTTAAGGTTCTGACTTTTCAAGTTTGAATTATTGCTTTACACTTTCCCGAACATGCTTGACTATTTTATAGACATAGTCAAGCAGATCATTTTGTGGTCCTGTTATGTTGTACACACTTCATCTTAATTTTTGAGTACATTCTTTGGCTTAATTGCACTTCAGTTTATTCTGCTTTTGCCACAGAAGAGTTTCCTGCATAAACTATGAAACTCTCCTCACAAAAATCTAATTTAGAGCAGCCAAATTTAGCACGATGATGTCACACAGCACAGGCCTTTTTCTAATTACCTCTCTGCGCGGCACCGCTAACAGCAGAAGATGGAAACAAACAAATGGAAATATCAAATGCACCTCTGCTGTTTACGAGCTGGGGTCTGACAGCTGACAAGATACTTAAGGGGCGTCTAATACAGCAATTAGAGCGTGCCACTGTCTGCAGGGCTGCTGCTGTGACAAGGCGCCCTCTAATCACTGACTTATTACGCTGGCTAGCAGTACCTCTCATATCTGGCCCATTAAGCAGACAACAGCATTAAGAAGCATTAAAGCAGCAAGCCCCTCTCGACTGAGGAGGCACTGACGGGAGAAAAAGGAAGGGAGGGGACGCACAGTGCCTGTTATTTCTCTGTATTAATTTGTGCATTGTTACGCGTTCAGTTTGGAACATGTAAGAGGAGTGAAACAGAAGAAATGTTTGTCATGTGACTGCATCAAAGCTGATTGCGCACAATGAGATAAAAGACTACAGAGTGAGAGGCAGCAGACGGATGTGTCAAGGATGGCCATCAAAAACAAGATCAAGATGTGAGTTGGCCTGTGCGTGTGGCTTGTCAGAGGAAATGAGAAAGACAAAATCATCAGACTTCTTTAAGATGCTCACGTACTTGCAACTCCGCTTCTGTGGCTCTGGATTGTATTTGACCGTGGTTTAACCTGTGTCTGGCCTGTGCTGGGTCAGGGACGAGCTTGGGCCCAGATCCCACCGCTACACTCGCACATATTTGTCACAGCAGGCCGGGGGAGGAGGCTGTGTTATCTGAGGCCCGGCCAGATACACAACATTAGTCACCATGCTAGTGTCTCGCCAGGGTTTCCTCTTTGGCTCGCAACTAAAGACGACGATTGTGAGCAAAAGGACAGAGGAGTGTGCGTTGGGCTTCATAAATCACAAGAAAACTTAACAGCTAAACAGCAAGGCGAGGAAAATCCCGACAAGGCTTCAGCAATTAGACCCGAAACAACAGTCAGCTCTCTCCCAGCTGTCGCGTTACCACTGTGGTCAACAACTTAACCTAGATGCAATCAGAACGCATCATTTCCAGCCCCTATCTGGCTCAAGTGTGTGCGTCTCACTGCTGGGTTTTGTTTAGCTCGAGGCTTGATGTTTCATGGATGTTTTGCTTGGCTCACAGTCCCTGTCCCAGCCCAATTGTATAAACACTGACAGTCAGCAATGGCCAGCATCAGACTGGGGAGGACTCTCAATTAAAAGGCTGTTAGTGGGACAGATGGACTGAAGAACTGCAGGAAAAGGGAGCTGCTGAACAAGATGGCTTCATCTTGGACTTTAGTTTAGATAATCAGTCCAACTCTAAACCAAGCAGCAGCATATGTAAAGGTCAACCAAGGTACTCATTTGGTGCTGTGAAACGAAAGAACTGACGGCGATCCTAAACTAATATCCGTTATAACTGTATTCCTAACTGTCATATTTGAAGGTTGACATTGTAACTATATGCTACCAAAAACACCACAAAAGCACCAGCTGCCCGTTTCTGCCTCTCTATATCCTCTCTAGACTTCGTACGACGAAGCCAACACAGACAGCTGCTGGATGCTGGGCGGGTATTGTTCCTTCTACTTTAACTGAAACCTTTATCATGTTCAACACACAGCCACAGACCACATTTCTTGTTTGGTGAGTTAAGCAAAGCCGAGATTTAAATGAAAACCCCGTGCGTACT